CTGAGCGGCGCTGTCGACTACAGTAGGAAAGACCCCGTTGAAGCAGGGGGGGTTGCGACAAAACTGAAGCGTGTAGCCGAGCCGAACTGTGCGAAGGATCCAAGGCGATACCCCTGGTAAACGCTCCCATTCTTGAACGAAATGTGATAGAGGCAGAGGAGTGTTGCAGTGCAAGGGACATACCTGAGGTAGGGTGTCGCGCTGGTTTCCATGGGGAGGCGCGGTTGACCGTGGAGGAGAGCGCTTGGCGTCCTGACACGTATTGGGGGGTACCACCACCTGGATAGAAGTAACTGGGTCCGCCTGCTCCAGAGGAAAAAGAACTGTGCCTCTGAGGAAGCGATTGGCGGGTGTAACGTGCACCGGGAGCGAGGGGAGAAAGCAAGATGCGTCTCCTTCCTCCTGCGCCGGACTGGGTGAAGAGAGTGAAACAGGACCTGCACTTCGAAACACGCTGGGTGGCGAAGGTGACAGGGTTGGATGAGGAGAGCCGGCTGGAGGAGGGCAGAAACGCTTGCGCGGTCTGTCCCAACCTCGTAGATCTGATGAGGCTCTCCTCTTCCTGCCCTGCGGGTCAGGAACGGCTCGAGGAGGCTGGAGCGGCCGATTTGTTGGACCGCTTCAGCTGAAGGCGCTTGTGAGGGCGCTGGCGAGGAAATGGACGACCTCGGGCTCCCCAGACAGTAGTTGGTGGGTGGCGAGCCGGGTCACTCCTGCTAGTAGGGAACTCAGCCCTATGAGCAGAGCGTTCTCGGGTTTGAGAAGGGGGAGGGTTGGAGTCACTGGGCCCTCTGACCCTCCTGGGCATAAACTGCCTGAACGCGGCCGACTGAGACTTAGCGGCGCGGAACTTGTCAACCACCGTGTTGACCGCCTCCCCGAAAAGACCTGAGTGGGAGATAGGGGCATCCAGGAGGAAACTCTTATCCTTGTCTCGGATCTCCGTGAGATTCAACCAGAGGTGGCGCTCTGCAGCAACCGAGCCCGCCATAGAGCGACCTACAGCCCGAGCAGTGTGCTTGGTGGCTCTTAGGGCCAGATCTGTGGCTTTGCGAAGCTCTTTGACAGCTTCGGGCGTCAGTCCCTCTCCTTCATCCATGTCCTTCAAGACGTCCGCTTGGTAGGCTTGAAGGATGGCCATGGTATGCAGGGCCATGCCTGCCTGACCAGCCGCCATGTAAGACTTCCCAATAAGGGGGGAAGTAGTCCTACAAGCCTTGGAAGGAAGAAGGGGACGCGCCTTCCAAGACGGTGCAGACGACGGGGCGAGGTGGTTAGCCAGCGTGTCCTCGACCGCTGGAATAGCGGAATAACCCTGCTCCACAAAACCAACAAGGTTGGTGAAGTCAGCGGCTGCCGCATTAGTTAGGCGTGCGGAGAATGGCTGCTTCCAGGATCTGGAGATCTCGTGATGCAGATCGCTGAAAAAGGGCAGCTTTCTTCGTTCTGGCCTAGAATTAGGGCCACGTAGGAACCTCTCGTCGAGTTTGGACGATTGAGACTCGCGGGGCTCATCAGGCCAGTCAATAGAGAGCTTCTCTGTAGCGCGCGACAGCACCTCAATAAGCTCAGTGTAGGCCGGAGTAGGCCGCGCGTCCTGGCCGCTAGGCGGGATAACGTCATCAGCCAGAGCAGGCCCGAAATCCTCGGAGTCGGAGGCTGCAGTGTAAATAACGTCATCCAGACCGAAAGAAACCGATTCGCGGGCTCCCGGGCTGGGACATAAATAATCATGCGCGAATTCAACCGCGCCGCGTGCGTGCTCGGGAGAGGGAGGGAGAGAAAGGGCGAGGCCCGTCTGCTCATACTCAATATCCTCGAGCTCAACATCCGAACCCCAGGCCGCGGATCCACGAGAGGCCTCAGCAGTCTCGGGAGCGCGACGGGGGGAAACGAATGTCTCCTTCTCAAAAACCGCGAGTCTAGAGCGGAGGGTTTTGAGAAGGAGATTGTCACAAAATTTACATTTCGACAATCCTAATACAGCCTCACGCGCATGCGAAAAACCCATACATTTAACACACTTACTGTGAGGGTCGTCGTTCGAGATGAAACGAACGCATGGCGGAGAGCAGCGTCGATAATCCATGACACTTCACTGTAAGGAGAACAGAGTTCCACTTATACCAGTCGCTGAAGTGTCGAGACGAAAGCTGAAGTTGAATTGAAGAATTCGGGCTCAGAAAAACCGCACGAAGGGCGAGATGTGACCGCTTCGTGAAGGCAGAGAAATCTGAGGAGAAGATGGCGCGCGCGCGTACATCATGCTACGACGTAAGAGCGTCGGGGCGGAGCCAGCTTTGCGCGAGCGCCATCAGCCAATGGATTGGCGTGATTCTATAGGGCTTCAGACAATCGGCACATCCAGAGGATATCCCACTGCGCTTTCCGCAGCGTTGAGTGAACCTATGAAAGAGAACTGGTGTTTTTATATTTTGCTTCTTAAATTCCTCAGTTTTAATAATAATAACTGACTGTAATAGAATAATTGACTTGTAATGAAAATACTTTATTTAGCATTGATCGACCCAGACAATTAAATCAGTTCATATCCATAACAGGGGACTGGAAAGTGTTGAGAGGCAGTTAAATTGAAATACGCAGGCAATAAAATTGGAATAGGGCTTCCATACTCAATTCCATGCTCATTAGATTATACAGACCATTTCTAGACCATACTCGCGCTCATGGGTTTATATCATAGTTTTAGTGTAGGATAGGAGTTTTGGAACAGGGGAATACTGTGCCACTTGAATTTGGAATGAAATTAAATTTCAAAATGAATCTTTCAAACCTCATTTCACATTTCTCCAAATTGTTAAAAGACCAAATGCAGGTTTTCCAGTCATGCTTTGGCATATTTGAGCTGCACATCCTGCACACCATAGAGTTATCTGTGTGCATCTGTGAAAATATTCATTAATGCCTTTAACGAATGTTTATTTCATTATTGTATATTGTTATTCTAGCAAAGGGATCCAAAAGGCTGCTGCACATCTGGTTTGGCTGACTCTGAGATCCAGTTTCTTTATTTAATATTTCCTGTCTTCTTTTTTCACCCGGTAAAGTTTAAATCCCATGTTTTGACGTGCTTTCTCACAACACGTCCCACAAAGGTTATTATGTCTCACGACGGTCCTTCAAAGCTATTGAAAAAAGACTTTTACCATTCTCTAATGTGGTTTAAATTGGGCAGTCATAAAACATTATGGACTCCGTTGAAACCTGTATTCAGCATTCTTCACTTATCTGATGCAGCAAAATGTATCTTATTTGGTGTAAACAGGGCACTAAACATAGGTTATTAGGTTTCAACATGGTTTTCAAATGTTTTAGTAACGACAAATGTAAAAATAGCAGTAGGCCAGTAGGCCAAAAAAAGGCTAACAAACCAACATAGGCTCATTGGAAAATGTGCCTCAAACTACATTTTTCCAAAACTCCAATCATTTATAGATGCCATTAACTACATTTTCTAGCTAAAATGAACACTAGATGCAGTAAAACACCAATAACCTTTAGGCTTATTCCTTTTCTTATTTTCGCGTGGTTCCTTGCACAATACTTTGTTATAACCTCAAAACATTATACCATAGTGCATGATTTGTAAACGAAATATTTTGCAGTTTGCATCATATAACCAGCTCCATATGTAGCCTATGGATTTTCTGACGTAGTAAACTCGGACATCTCCGGATATGTCCCGTAAAACAACAGTCACGATAAAAGACATATTTTTACGCATATGTCCAAGTGAAACAGCTTCTTGATTATCTCTATTGGGAATTGATTGGATAATCGTTATTGTTTGCTAACTGCTGAGATCTCATGTGAGAAGTTTTTATTTTATTTTATTTTTTTATTGAATGCCAGTCACATACAAATAATAAACATGACAATAAATATTACAAGAATAATACAAAATATTTTTTAAAATAATTATACATTAGGCTACAGCAAATAGGAAAAGAAAATATAGTTCATGTGTGACAAGTTGCCAAATAGCCCTAGGCCCTTGCGGCAGTGCACGTCATCAGAGAAGAGATGTATTTTTTTATTAGAGATTACGAGGGCACATTAATAAAAAAAAATAAAAAAAAATAATTATGTGCACAAAAAAAACAAACATTTATAGGCCTAAAATATTTAATTGTCAATTTTGATTTCATAGTAACTTTAAAACATGATAAGTTAAGAACACATATCACTTCATTATAGTTTAACATAATATTATTGTTCAACAAATATAACTTTTTAAATAATTGGATAATTGACATTGGATAATTTACATTTAGCTAGCTGTGTAAGTGATGTTACATGACAATTTGCGTTGCACATATAGGCCTATAGGCTATATATATATATATATATATATATATATATATATATATATAAACAAATATATATGTGTACATGTATATTTTTGTGTGTATATATATATACATTCATATATTGTGTGTGTATATATATATATATACATTCATGCTATACATTCATACATGTATTTAGGTAGCTCAACGCAAATTCTAAATTAGCATTAGGCTACTTAGCTAAATGTCAATTATCCAATATACAGTGTGTGTGTGTGTGTGTGTAAAAATACCTTCAGCCTACATTTAAAGTTTAATATTGTAATTAGGCTATATTATTCGACTCTCCTGAAAGCCATTGAATAATTTGCATAGGCTATAGCCTACTGGCTTTGTTAAACATACTTGCCAATAAAGTAGGCTACTTTGAAAAAGATTAAGACCCTTTTGAAATTTTCAATTGCAATATTTTGTTTATAATTTCGTGTCAATATAATAATTTCCCAGTCTCATCAGATTTAGTCATCTGGAGTTGCTGTTACAGGTTGTCAACACTAGGCTAATGGCCACACCTTTCTGTGATTCTTCCTGTGGTCAGGGCCCGCTCATCGGCTTTAAATCATCCGCTCCACACAGAAACACAACTTTGATCGCATAGTCGTGCTCACACGCCGTTTAACAGCGGTCGCGTTGCGTGAAATACCAAGAGAAGCGCATTTATTCCGCCTGCAGATAACGGCATAAATCTAGCTGTAGTTAGCGGTGCGCGATTCGAATGCTCGCTCGTGCGCGCGCGCTCGCTCGCTCTGTCTCTCTCCTTCTCTGCTCCTGACGTCAGCGAGATTGTCTGAGAGCGTCGAGCCCAGCGCGTTCTCTCTCCACACTGACCCTCCATTGTGAGCACGCTAACGATGCCAGCGCTCGCAGCAGTCGCCGCCGCCGCCCAGTAGAGACCTCCCAGCCCGAGGACCGAGCACCACGACCCCGTTGCACAGACCGAGAGCGCGCGCCAGAGACTTATGTTCCAGCCCAACGTTGTCTTTTGCGGGATTTAATGCTCTAGCTAGTCGCCGACAGGGAGAGAGCGAGAGAGAGAGAGAGAGAGAGTGTGTGTGTGTGAGAGAGAGGGATAGGGACAGCCATAGAGAGGAATAAGGAAGAAACACCGAGGATATTTCTCACCCGGACCATTTTGGAGATAAAAAGAGCCGAGGTTCATCTAGCCATGGGATGTACACTGAGCGCAGAGGAAAGAGCGGCTCTGGACAGGAGCAAAGCCATCGAGAAAAACCTTAAAGAAGACGGAATCACTGCTGCTAAAGATGTGAAATTGCTCCTGCTAGGTAATGCGGAGTGGAGCCCTTCAAATCTAGCTGTATCCTACACATCGCAGTGTCTCATCCGATGATCAATGCACATGTATGGGATCTCTTCATTGTGACAGGCGATCTTATTCCCTTGTGTCTGTCTCTTCTCCACAGGGGCCGGGGAATCTGGGAAAAGTACCATCGTGAAACAGATGAAGTAAGTGGCATGTTTTAAATGACATCCATCAGTCAGTGTGCGCTGTGTGAGACACACAAAACCACCCACCCACACACACATACACACCCTCTATTGCTTGATGGCGAATTCTTAGGTCCGCCATATTTTCAAGGAGTTCATTCTCCACTAGCGTGTTATATACATTGTAGCAGTGACATGATGATATGGTGTAGCAGATCCGCAGTGTGTAGTAGCCTATATTAGTGGGTTCGGGAAGACGAGGCGCCGTCGATGTGCTGTTCACGAAAATGGTGCTGAAAGTCAACTGGGGGACCGTGTTCCCTAGTTAATGCCCTATTGGCGTCCACTGACACACTCCACCCCGATTTCACTTCATCCTGTGGGCATTTACGGATGTCTCTGATGTCTTCCTGTGCATTTGTTGATATGACAAACGTCATAAATCAATCAAATACATTAACGTTTATAGGGAAAAATATATATATATATATATATATATATATATATATATATATATATATATATATATATGCTACTGTATACTCGACATATAATTAAATGGTTGTGTTTTCAGATTTGCAGCATCACTTTAGAGATTCAAATTTTTTTTCCTTAAATAATGTAGAGACCGATAGCCTTACTGATTTGACCCATATATTTTTTATAACCATATTCACACTTTTCTGCTTAGCTAGTTATAGGTTCTTCAGTATTGGTTTCTTCAGTTTTAAATGGCGTCCCCTTAATAGTAATGTACTGATTGCAAGCTTTTACATATCAACCATTCATTTTCAATTAAGAGTACAGCATTTTAAGCTTAGTAGCTCTAAAATAAATTTGAAGCCATTTACATTCACACAAATAACTACATAATAAAATATAAGCTAATGATTTATTCATATGGTTATGTTGTATTTTATTATAGTCCAGTGTTTATAGTACTGTGTCAAAAAAGCAGGAATAAAACAATTAAAAAAGGTTCTGCATATTTTATTTAGCTCTTGTAAAAGTAATATAACCCCCCCACTATCAGTCGGTTTATACTATGCAGTTAATAGGGTGTTAAGAGCCTTCTGTTGGTTGAGAATGGTGAAGGCAGAGCTTATATGGCAAATGGTGCCTGGAGATAATGCTGTCGGCTGTGTGTGCATGGCGTTGGTGCAACATGAACAGGCCTTCATGCTTTTGTAGTCTGTGTTGGTTTGATGCTCATATTGAGGGAAGAAGGTTTGACACCCAACCAGCTCAACTTCCTCACGGCCATTTTTATGCACTGACGTCCTCTTTACGCCTCACTGAAAACGATCTGTTCATCTACCGTGTGGTTTGGATGTCATATGCTCATTTGAATCGAATCTGAAATGCAACTCCTTTAATTAGCCTATTTGACTCGTTTTGGAATAATCTATTTTTTTATAGTCACTGTCTCCATCTGAACATGGTGTGTGTTATAGAATTCATATAGGCTAATAATGATGTATGCTTACTGATAAATAGACGTTATAATGTAAGTGATGCAAGCGAGATTTCTGAACGTCGAGCTGTAGCAAGCGCAGTTTATTGCTCAGTGCAAAGCTTTCGATGAAGAAACGCATCCATTCTCAAATGTGTGCACGAGCCCTGCCTTTGTCGAATCGAAATCTGTAGCCCTTTGAAAATGCCATTGCAGGCTATATTCTATCTGGTCTGGCTATGTTATTATATCACGGTGTTTTTGTAATGCGATCCAAAGCATTTATTATGGAAAATGCACGTAATTAGCTCGGAAATGTTGTGAAATTGTAAATCGGAGGGTTTCAGGCGGTTTCAGTGGTGGACAGCGCCCAGCAGAGTCTTTTTCTGTGATCGGCTTTCTTCGGCTAGTTTCGGTTTTCTCCGTCGTTAAGAGCCTTGAACCTGTGGCGAGAGGAAAAACAGGGGATGGATTTATGCGTCTTGTGCTCAGGGAGAGATACATTCACCTACTTCGATTTTTTTCATTATATTGTGTGTGAATGTTTTACTCAATAAATATAATGCTTAGCTTGGGACAATGGCAAAATAAGCTAAATCAGCTGACGAGCAGAGGAAGAAAAATGCTAATGCAAATACCCCAGATATTTAAATTTGTGGGTGCATAAAATGAATTCCTCTTATGTAGGATTTGATATATTTCAATATAGTCTAGCATAGTGTTTGTGTTATGATATCTTTTTATTCAGATGGAGAATTTCTAATAAATCTGACTGTACAATTTCTCCCAAAAAGGGAGAAAGATGAAAATCAACATATTGCAAGTTGAGTTTGAGGATATGGAGAAACCAAAATTATATACTTTTTCAATTTCAAATTACTTGGTCAGCTGAACAAATTAATGACAGTATTCACCACTGTGCTTTTAAGCCATTGTAGCTAATGCCTCAGGCATATTTCTAAGTCATCCAAAGAGTGATGAATCTTTCCTCTCTAAGGATTCATTGTTGCTCTTATGTGCTTAATTGGGTAATAAGAGTGTCTCATGATGGAACTGGTTAAACGGTTTGGCTCCTGAAGGAGTGGAGTATGCAGCTCTGGGCTTCTTACTGTAATACACCATGAATTAGTTGTTTTTCTAGGGCTTTTGATGAGCTTAAGGCCGTTAAATGTTCCGCCACTGTCACTTACTTGAAATGCTTTTTAGGATATTGCAGCTTTAATATAATGTATTGCAGTTAATGTACTTGTAATTGTCTCATTGTGAAGTGGATACAATAAAAAGCAATTTTACAATCTTTTATGTTATTAGAATCCAGAACAAACTAATTAAAATTCCAGTGGCAGTCTTATGTCTCTTAAGATATATAAATTTTTTTTTTGCTCTAATGTGAAAGAGCCGATCTCTATATGGTCGGCAGAGCTGATTTTATTATGTCTTCAAGCTTCCCTAGAGATAACGGTTAAGTATATAAGCCTATATACACTCACCGGCCACTTTATTAGGTACACCTGTCCAACTGCTCGTTAACACTTACTTTCTAAGCAGCCAATCACATGGCGGCAACTCAGTGCATTTAGGCATGTAGACATGGTCAAGACAATCTCCTGCAGTTCAAACCGAGCATCAGTATGGGGAAGAAAGTTGATTTGAGTGACTTTGAACGTGGCATGATTGTTGGTGCCAGAAGGGCTGGTCTGAGTATTTCAGAAACTGCTAATCTACTGGGATTTTCACGCACAACCATCTCTAGGGTTTACAGAGAATGGTCCGAAAAAGAAAAAACATCCAGTGAGCGGCAGTTCTGTGGGCGGAAATGCCTTGTTGATGCCAGAGGTCAGAGGAGAATGGCCAGACTGGTTCGAGCTGATAGAAGGGCAACAGTGACTGAAATAACCACTCGTTACAACCGAGGTATGCAGCAAAGCATTTGTGAAGCCACAACACGCACAACCTTGAGGCGGATGGGCTACAACAGCAGAAGACTCCACCGGGTACCACTCATCTCCACTACAAATAGGAAAAAGAGGCTACAATTTGCAAGAGCTCACCAAAATTGAACAGTTGAAGACTGGAAAAATGTTGCCTGGTCTGATGAGTCTCGATTTCTGTTGAGACATTCAGATGTTAGAGTCAGAATTTGGCGTAAACAGAATGAGAACATGGAACCATCATGCCTTGTTACCACTGTGCAGGCTGGTGGTGGTGGTGTAATGGTGTGGGGGATGTTTTCCTGGCACACTTTAGGCCCCTTAGTGCCAATTGGGCATCGTTTAAATGCCACGGCCTACCTGAGCATTGTTTCTGACCATGTCCATCCCTTTATGGCCACCATGTACCCATCCTCTGATGGCTACTTCCACCATGTCACAAAGCTCTAATCATTTCAAATTGGTTTCTTGAACATGACAATGAGTTCACTGTACTAAAATGGCCTCCACAGTCACCAGATCTCAACCCAATAGAGCATCTTTGGGATGTGGTGGAACGGGAGATTCGCATCATGGATGTGCAGCCGACAAATCTGCGGCAACTGTGTGATGCCATCATGTCAATATGGACCAAACTCCCTGAGGAATGCTTCCAGCACCTTGTTGAATCTATGCCACGAAGAATTGAGGCAGTTCTGAAGGCAAAAGGGGGTCCAACCCGTTACTAGCATGGGGTACCTAATAAAGTGGCCGGTGAGTGTATGTCATGACATGTTTCAGGAAATGTTATTATGTGTATGCGATAAAATCAGAGCTATGTTGAATCTAGATCAGTGGTTTTGGTCTGGCCTTACTGTCAAGGCATATAGTAAGACATAACAGAACCACAACATTTACACTGCAACAAGCTAATCGGAACACTTCCACTGTGTGTTAGGTTTCTAGCCTTTAGTTAAACAGTATTCTGTATTGCATGGCTTGAAAAGTGCAGATGAGACAAGGAGGTGTGCACTTAACATGTCAGAGTACACCAGGGAACTGGGTGATGTGTGAAAGATGGTGAGAGAGAGAGGGCGCAGCATGGGGAGGGGAGATGTTGGTAAACCCTGTGATTATGGTGTAGTCAACAGTGCTTCCATCTGCTTTATTAGTTCAGTGTGAGAGGGGAGTGTTTAAGTGTGTGCCGGCAGCTCTCAGTATCTGATCACATCACACACACATGGCACTCTCTCTTTTTCTCTGTTCTGCGGTCATCTTTCTGGCACCTAGTCCTATGGGAATGAAATATAAGCAATTGAAGATGCATTTTGTGTGTTCGGGGGAGAGAGAAAATCAGAGTATATGGTGATGGAGAACAGTTTTATAGACCCTGGAGACGGAGCTGTGTGTGTCATCATCGTGCATGTCACTTCCTCACCCACGCGTGTCATGCATGGATGATCAAAAGCCTTTAGAAAACAGATAAAATGTATATACGAAAAGTTATATGGTATGATGTGCGCACGATTGTGCCATATTAAAGCAGTATGTCGTCAGGTCCCAGATCTGATTCTTGTTTATAAGGCTGTTAAACATAGACTAGGTGTTGCACTGACTATAGTTGAATATATATATATATTAATACTAATTTTGTA